CACATCAGGGCACCAGGCAGCTTGCTGCCTCCACAGCAAATCCCAGAATTTGCTTCCCCTCCATCCTCCAAGCATGGCCTTGCTAGCAGGAATCTTTCGGTTTTAAATTTATTTTTACCCTTTTCTAAGCCAACAGCTATTTTAGGAGGGCAGGGGAATATCAGCACTGACTGATATTCCAGGGGCAGATTACTTCCAGCCTGTACCCCAGCTCTTCCCTTCCCTCCCATACATTTTAAACACAACCAGCTCCAGGAAAATCAATTGACTCTCCTCATTCTGTTTTGTAACACAGAAAACTGGTGAAAATGAAAATAGGTTTCCCTCTGCTCCTTTGTCAGTTTAATATTCTGGTCCTGTTTGTCCTGAGCAAGTGAACACTGATGAAGTTTGATTTGGTCTCACTGTCTCTTTGGGGAAGACTTTGTCTTCCAGCCTCTCTTCTTTTGGCAGGGGATGTTCCCATCATGCAGTGCTGAACACATCGGACCTGAACAACAAAACACTTGTTTTTTCCTTAATTCTTCTAGCAGGAAACTTCCTCCCATGCCTTACCTCAAGGAAAAACAAGCATTCAAAGATGCCACAAGGGCTTCTGTGGCTGCTCGACCTTGGCCCTGTCTCATTTCCATCTCAAGGACCTGGCACAGCCCATGGAAGATGCCCTGGCCATGATTTTCCCAGGAACTGTTTCCCATCCAGAAGGGCTTCTCTCTCCTCCTGTCTCCCCCAGGGTCATTTGGTGCAGGCCATGAGGGTGAAATTTATTTTAACCCCAAGGCCAGACCCTCTGAGGAGAGAGAATGAGCTCGAGCTTTATTCCTGGAGGTAGGGATGGATCCATTCATGGAGAAATACAGTCCAGAAGAGGAATAGATCTTCCAGCTCTGTGACTTCTCCTTTTGACAGGCAGCACCTTGCACAGGTGAGGTGGCTGTGCCCAAGCCCTCAGACAGACAACAAAACCATCAGCAGGACAAAAAATCCTGGCAGTTTTCACTCACACCTTTGGGGTGACAACAGAGAACATTTTTGTTTCAGGGGACACAAAAGTGCAAAGCTCATGACACCAAGAGTTTTTGTGTAAAAACTTACATAAGTTTATTGAACTGATCCAAACCAATGACCTATTTTGGCCTGAATTCCACCACGAAGTCTGCGAGCAAACCAAAGGCAAATCGTGGGAGTGGGAGGTGTATCCCCGGGGAGAGAAACCAGAATAAAAAACCAGATGGACTTACAGTTCTTCATCTTTGAAATTACATATGGATGCAACATTAACAGGGAGCAAGAACAGATCTTCATGTTTAAATTATATTTGAAGTTTCCAGGAACTGCAGAAAAGCAATCACAGAGGCAAAGGCCCGAGATGGCTGAAGCCCCTCTTATGCTGCTCTGGGGAAGGCATCTCTCTGCTGCCTACAAAAGTGCCACATCCAAACGAGGGAGGCACAGCTGCCAGGAATATTTCAGCCTCTGGGCTGCTTTAAGCACCTCGTTTGCATTCTCAAAGCTTGCACACGACCAGAACCTACAGAATCTCACTGACAAGAGAGGAGGCAGAGCTGCTGTGGTGCCTGGGTCGGATTCCAGAGCCGAGGAGCAGAGGCACAGGGAGAGCCTGTCCCCAGCAGCACTTCCTCCAAGCCACCACGGGTCACACCTGCTACAGCATGCCTGCAGCTCTCAAAAAACGAGCTTACAAATCCCAGCCAGGGAGCAGAGGACAGCCAGCACTCCGTGCATATTCATAACAGCACCCACTACACGATCCACCCCGAACATCTGGCCAAAACCATGGATATTCAACAGGAACATATCCAAAACCAAACAGCACAGCACTGAACTCAGCACACGGAGTGTGTGACACTTCGGTACACAGCTGTCACACAAGTCCTCGTGGAGCAGGTGCTCTGCCCACTGTGCAGGCTGCCCAAGGCTGACTTTTATGCATGAACTAGCAGGAATAACACAACAGCTCTCGACAAAAGCAGCCCTCAGATAGAAGGACACACAAGCCAGGGAAGCTTGCAAATCTATTTTGTTTTCTCTAGGGGATGTGACAGACCCAGGGACCTTTAGCTGAAGTGGGCACACGCTGGCAACCCCTGGACACGGCCCCTCCTGACACGGCAGAGGTTTAAATCAAACCTCCTGCCACACCTGCACCCAAACCCAAACCTCCTCTCCCATTCAGAACCTTCTCCTCTCCCCTCAAGACAGGTCTCCTGTTGGGTGGTACACACACAAGACCCTTCCCCACAGGGTATCATGATTTGGGGTATTTTGTCACATCCCTGTGTGCATTTGGTCCCACTTCCCACAGCTATGTGATCGTATGCACACATAAACTCTCTCTGGGTTTTGGGGGTGAGTCCTTCTCCTTGGGAAGCCAACCAAGATTCTTGGTTTCTACCCCACGACTGCTCCACTATCTGCACACAAGGTGAATGTCTTGAGAAAAACCTTCCCCTGGGGCAGTGGCAGGGTGGTGATTTCATATCTGAACAGACCAGGGGAGAAGGTTTGGGTGTCACCACCAATTCCCCAGCACCTGTTAACCTTCTGTGTTCTCTTTTTCCATATTCTAGTTCTCACCAGGTCTGTCACAAATAAAATCAGGATTTACTGCCAGTTCTGAGCTGGTGACAGCACCAATCCCTTCATGGACAGCCCAATTTTTAATGGGCAAACAAACTTAAAAGCACGTACTTGGCTCTTCTTTATCATCCCATTCCACTCTTTAATGGCCTTTGTTTATTCCCTTCTCTGAAAGCCAGACACTTAATTGTGCTGAGGAAGTTGGTCAAGAGTTACAGCATCTCATTAACAGCAGGTACAACGCCATAAATACACCCACAGAGGCAACTACTGCTCTGGAGAATCAGGTCAGAGATACTTTTGCATCCCCAGAGGTCACTTGTCTCAGACCCTGCAGCCACTCAGGGATACCCTACTTACACTGGAGGTCAAGGGCTGAAATAGGCTTCTAATATTAAACAACCATATCTTCATAAAACTTTGCTTTATAACAAAATATCTTATTAACCACAACTTTTCCTATTGGTAGGTATGTATATATCATACAGAGGTGTTGGCTTAAGGGTTCTGCTATCAGGCAGCAAATTATTTTCGCTGCCCCAGTGGAAAATACATTTCAGTAAAGCTCTAGCTTATAAAAGCATCATTTTATGTAACACTGCCACTATCTCCCTGCTGTTTAGTTTACAGGTACCACGGATCTATGGAATATCTATGCTACCTATGGAAAATCTTGCTCCCTTCCCTATTGCTCATCTCAACAGGGCCAAGAAATTGCTATTTTTGGCAGGGGGATGAGGCACAAATTAGTGACTTGTTTTAAACCCTCCCGTTTCAACCCTTGCTTTGGATAAGAAACTAATCCCCTCTGAACAATCCCCACATCCTAAACCTGAAAACTATGAGATAATAATACTTCATCCCCTCCCCAATGATCCCACCCCACAATCCAGGTAAAATGTGAAGAGAAATACACAACTCCAAGAATACCAAAGGAGCTCGGTGATGTGGGCAAAAGCATCCTGGGAAAGAAAGTGCACGTGGGGATAAAGGGAGCATTTCAAAACGAAGGTCAGGAGTTCATGTGTAACTAGAGCCCTCGCTGCACAGCTCCAAAAACTGCTGTGCAGCTGCTCAGAACCAGGAAATCGGGAAAGTCTTGAACTTGGAGCAGGGAAGACACAAGAAAGCGAAACAAGAGAAAGGAAGGAAGGAGGATTTCACTGAGCAGGCAGGGGCATCTGCTCTGCAGTAGAAAACAGGGACTACGTGAAGCAGCAGCAGGCGATGCCTACGAGGGGCGCGTGGGGGAAGCCAAGAGAGAGTGAAACCTGCTGAACACCCAACGTGAGTCCAGCTGCTCTGTTCCTCCACTTCCAGAGGCTGATCCGAGCCAACACATCCTCCGAGTTCGGACCCTACGCAGGGACCCCCGGCCAGGGGCCCCGGGGAAAGTGCTAGGTTTGAACTGGTGCAACAGCAACAAACACAAACTTCAACTTGACTCTTCCTCTCTGCCAGGAGAGGAATTTTAGCCATTCCACTTGCAGCACCCACTGGTACAAGGTGAAGTGCACAGAGGATCTCTTCAGCATCAGGATGGACAACGGCCAATGGGGGAAGCTGCTCTTCAACCCCTTGTTGACCTGTCGCTCTAAAAGCCCTTCCAAGGCAGCGCTCATCCACCACGTCCCAAAATTCACTTTCCAACACACCCGTTATCCCCAGAGGCTGCAGGCACCACAAGAGATGGGTACAGCAACCAAAACCTCTTTTTTCTCCCCCAAAATCAGGTGGATATAGAGCGTGCACTTTGAAAAGAAAGTTTCTTTCTCGGGAGTTCTTTTTCTTTCCCCCGTTTTGTGCACTCACAGAAAGCAAACCAGTGGAGTGAAGTGGATGCACTAAAGTACCTGAGCTCTGAATCAAGCAGAATACTGATGGAGATCTTTCCTGTGAACTCGAGCACAACAAAAGGTTGAGACAGCACCAAGCTGCAAGAAAATACTACAGCAAGCTCGAGCCACAGTTGGATAGCTAGGCCAAAGGGAGCTCTGGTGGAGCAAAACACCAAAAATTTAGGAAAAGAAAACAACAGGTCAAATTCTGCACCGAGCTGTCTTCTCCCTTATGGACCCTGGCATTGTTTAGCTTGAACAACTGACCATTCATGCCAAATCACGAGTATACCGGAGCATCAAAGGAAACATCAAGGTATTGCCCACACTGAAACACACGTCCTGAAGTCAATTGTCACCTCAAGGTCACCTGCAGTGGATGGTGGGCATGGTTCTCAGATCAGGGCACTTCCTCCGGGCTAAGAAATTACCTGCTACAGAAACACAACCAAACCTCAACCAACCAACCAACCAACCAACCAACCGAAACAAAAACCTTGCAAAAAACTCCTCAATGCATGTGTGTGGGTGTGTGGGGGCGTGTGGGTGTGGGCAAGAAGGCTATTTCATTCTGGGCTCCACGTAAATTTTATCCCCATCCCGGATGCCGTAGGAATGCAGCGCCCGCGAGCTGTATTTCATCTCCTCGGGACCAAAAGGAGCCTCCTGGTCCAAGTAGAAGAGCAGCATGTTGCTTGTTGACAGCTGCACCACAGTTTTTAAGTGCTTCTTCAGCTCTGCCACAGTCTGGTCGAGGCGGATGGACATCTCCTCCACCTTGTCCTGGAAGTGAACCTCCACCTTGGCGCTGCTCTGAGGCCGCAGATCCACCACTGCCAAGGGCTCCAGCTTCCCGTACTTGGTGACCAGCTCGTGATACCTGCAAAATTCAACGAGTCCAGAGTTATGGTGCAGCCAATGCACATTTCCCAGGTCTGAGTGCTCCCCACTTGAGACAACACTGACCCTGATTCCAGCTGATGGCCCAAAGCCCCAGAAAGCCCAAGCACTCCAGCCACTTTTGTCCCACAGTCCCCAGGCTGCACCGTGGCACTGACATGAGCTCAGTGTCCCACTAGGGAGAAATGTCTTGCTGAGGAAGGTGAAGTTAGCACCAGCCTGAGATGTTTGAGCTGACTGGTCTCAAAACAGCTTCCTGACAAAACTGAGCAGCACAGTTTGGGCTCCTACAGTTTCAGAAATCCCAGCCAGTGGCTGCAGTGGGATTTGGAAGAAAGAGAGGACGTTGTGCTCACAACTCTACACCTCCTGCTCCAGTGAAAACACTTCACTGAAGAGTGCCAGAACCAAGCACAAAAAGGACACAGCCTTCAGTTTAGATTCCCAGTATCTGTGGCCTCACAACTTAACTGATCATCAGACATTCCTGCTGTTTTCCAAAAGGCCATCTAGGTCCCAAATGTTACACTCCACTGAGCACAGGATCATCAAGATCACCCAAGGAAGGTGAGCTGCTGAACAGTTTGAGAGCTGATAACAAACAGGGCACTTCTTGCCATCTGATCCCTCACACCTGCTCTAAAACAAGATGGGAATTTTACTAGCAGAGGCACACACTCCACTGTCACCTTGTCCTTGCAGCCAAGTTCTCTGAGTGTTCTTCCCAAGGTCCCTGCAATGGAAAGTCTGTGTCACCCCCGCCCCCCTGCTATCGCTCCCATCGGGCCAGGCTGGATCTCCCTGCCTGGCTGGGAAAGGGGAGGAATGGCAGCACAAAACACAATGGGATTGGGATGACAAAGGCTGAGAGCTGCCGAGGACAGGTAACGTTTCAGAGCCCCTGCACAGAAAGCGCTTTGTGCTCCCGATCCCAGGCGGAGCTGAATGAGCTCAGAGCGGTGTCACAGCCCCCGCAGCAGAGATGGGATCTGGCAGGAGGGGTGACCCCAGGGAGTCCTGCTGGAGGCAGGAATGTTCCTGGAGAACAGCAGCCCCTCTGTGTGCTGGGCACTGAGGTAAGGGCCACAAGGCACTAGGATTTCCCCAGTCCCACGGACACAAGCAGAGCGTCCAAAGGCAGGATGGTGCCCTGCTCTCGCAGCACTGGGGTGGTAGGAGCAGCCCCATTGATCTGGGAGAGCCATTAGTGCTGAGAGAAAACAACACTCCTCACATTGAACCCACCTGCAGGCAGAGCAAATGCCAGCCAACGTGTCAGCAGTGGGGAGGGTTTTTCTTCCTCTGGAAGGATTTGCCAGCAGCAACATCCCATGGGAAAGGAGAGGAACCCACCTCTTGCTGCTCCAAACCCTCCTCTTTGGGATATCCCTTTAATTCTCAGCATCTCTGCTGCTGCAGACCAGCAACAACTTCTGGGCCAGCTACAATTACTGCCATGATTCATGCACTAAGAGTGAACTGGGCTGATGGTAGGGAGAGGATAAAGAGGGGGACAAATTTCAGACAAGCTGAGAGAGAGAACCACCATGAGAGAGCCACGATTATCCAAATATGTGCTGTAAATATGTGGTGGGTCAAGCAACGCTGTCTGAAATTTCCTTATGTTGAGGAAGGGCAGAATGAGCTTTGCAGCCTGCTCCTTTGTATGTGAGCTGCAAAGAAAGTGGGGAGTGTGAGTGACTGGCTGCCCTCAAATCAATCAGGACCAAGGCAGACTTGTACATGCATGTTTTGGACCCCAATAATAGGCACCCTGGAGACTTTTCTAATCACCCCTTGCAGCCTGGCAGACACTGAGGCTGCTGAAGACCTGAGCCTGGCTGAAAATGCCTGTGATACTCTGCAGATAAACAGTGGAGCAGACAAGCAGAGGGCTCATTAAAACCCCCCAGACACGAGGACGTCACTCCACAAGACAGCCAATATTGGATTGTGCGCCCGGCGCTCCCTACAACCACGACATCCACAGAGATAAATTGTTCCTTCCATTTCCCTGCCTGCCTGATCCCTTCCAGCTGCAGACAGCAATGCAGCAAGCAGGGGGGTTCTGGTGACAGAGCTTATCACAGGCTGCACCTTGCCTTGTCTGGAGGGGGGCTGCTCCCACTGGGAAGTTTTCCCTGCTCAAGTTGTTCTCCCTCTGCTCGAGGCAGCACTGCAATGCAGATGTCAGACCCCAGCCACAACATGTGTGCCCTGATTAGTTTCTAATTACAAACCACTTCTGGAGCCACCACGCCAGATTTTGGAGGGGGAAAGGGGAAGCTTTAGCAGCAAAGAGACACAAAATCCCTCTGCAAGGAATGCCAGGTCTCCATTCAGACAAGGGCTGCTGATTGTGGTCCAGGAACTGAAACCCAGCACTGGAGACACTCTCAGCCATCTGCAGCCTCACTAGGAGAGAGTCTGCAGTGGCACCCAACCCCTCCAGGACAGAACAACCCTCTCTGGTAGCTGCAGAAGTCTCTTGGAAATGCTGCACAGATGAAGGGATTTGGACAAAGGGGCCTTTGACCATGAAAAAGGCAGTACCAATGTTTAAAGGCTAAGAAATCTGAGGGGGAGGTAATTTTTCTAGCATAAAGCTGACACGTTGGACAAAATTAGCCTGGTTTTCTTGGATGAGATATCAGTAGTCTTTTACATGAGATCCCACCTACAAACCAATCCCAGTAGTGTGTGGTGATGTGTAACACACAGCCTGTTCCCAAAATCCATGTCCTAGGCACCACGAGTGCCTAGAGCTGTACCCTACTGTGTCCTTCCCAGCAATATACGGAACACTGACATTCTGTCACCACCAAACACGAGAAATATGAAATGCTATGGAAATTAATCCCTTTTGGGAGCAGCACCATGAGCTCACAGTCCCAGTCTCTCCTTCTCCTTCCTCTCTCCTGCATTCTCTGTCTCTGCTGTTATTCCTTCCAATATTTCCTTCAATTTTCACGCTTCAAGGCGTTCTAAAATTACAAGTCAGGACTTGCCCTCAGAAAAAGGACCAGCTGTCTTGTCTCCCTGACTGCATGACTGCCCTCTGCCTCTGAACTGACCCCAGCATGCTTTTAACAAATCTTATAATCACTGATCCTATTAATATTCACACAAAATGCCATGCCCTCATTCCCCATTCCAGCCTTCCCACCCCCTTACTGGATTGGCAAGTCACATATCCAGTGCTTTAGAAAAACAAAAGGCGTATTAGCTGAGAGTTAAGCAGAGGAAAACACTGAGGAAAACACATTGGCACCTCTGTCATCCATGCCTGGCCATACCTGTGACCTTCAGTGTGTCCCCACCTCTGTCTGTGCCCTCAGAGTCACACACACACACTCCTGTCCTATCCCTTTTCTGTAAAAAAGAGATAATAAAGCTTTGCTGTCCAAAAGCACATGAGTGTTTAGGGCAGAGGGCAGGTAAAGGCAGTGGCCTGATGCTCCATGATCCCTCCTCAGCCCATTAGAAGCAGTAAGTGGATGCTGGCACAAAAAAGATACAGACTGAACAGCATCTGTCCAAGTTCATTAGTTTACCAAGATGAACGGATCATTGGATGCACTTTTTTGGCAAAGAAAACCCATCAGACTTGTGATTTGCAGGCCTGAAAGTGAGGAGACAGCTTCCCATTGCCAGCCACATCCACACACCAGATGGTCCAGAGGATTAGATACCCTGGCCTGGCAGTGGAGAGCACGATGTGTCCTGGCTTTGGGCACTCCCAAACACAGGTGGATTATGAGGGGAGCCGTGGGAGAGGCCAGGAAACAATGAAGGTCATGAAGTGAACAATGATGTTGTTTAATGGCACTTGACACAGGCACTTTTAAAACCAAACCTGCCTCAGGAGTGACCCCGAAAGTCATCAGCCAACAAGAACATAACAATTCCAGCCCAAACAGACCGAAGGAGCCAAGGTCAGAGGAAGGTGAGGGATGTGCTTTTCACAGAACAGCTGGCACGTATTTCCCATCACCTGGCCAGTCACCACACTTCTGTCCCTGCTCTCCACTCAGGACAGAGAATCCCTACCTGAAAGGAACCTCCTCCTCAGGGAACTCCATGTAATAGCGGATGAAGAACCGCTCCGAGTCCTCCCGCTCCCCGTCGGCCACGATGCTGCCGTTGAGCTTGGTGATGCATGGCAACCTGCAGGCACACACCAAGAGCCACAGTCAGCCAGGAGGGGAGCCCACACAGCCTCACCAACAAGGCAATCACAGCAAAAGTGCCTCAGCTTTTACATCGTGACAATTCCTGCCAGGAAGCTCAGGCCTAGATCTCTTTGAGAGAGTGGGAAAGTTCCAGGTAGTTTCATAAGAACATTCAAAATTAAGCATTTTCATTTCACCACAGATATCCACTACATGTGCACAGATTCGTAGGATACTCTCAAAATCCCCTGAGAAACAGAGCAGACAGATTTAACATTTTCACTTCTCTGACTTTTCCACAAAACAAGCTCCAATCTTTCAGCATTCACACAGAACTTCATCTCCTACCAACCTCTTCCTCTGATGAGCTGTTCCCACCCAACAAATCAAGTCCCAATCTTTCAGCATTCACACAGAACTTCATCTCCTGCCAGCTTCTTCCTCTGATTACCTGCTCCCACCCTTTCCTTGCCTTGTCACATTTCTGCTGAGCAGAACAAACCAACAGACCTGGCTATTAGCAGCTTCCTGCGTTCCTCAGTGGTGTAAGACTGCAGCAGAGGAATTCCCAGCAATTTCACTTCCTCAAGCTTGGGGAAAGAATTTAACTTGTCAATGTCTTCCCAGCAATGCAGACCTGCTCAGGAGGAAAGATCTGTGTTAACAAACACAGAAAACACACCAAGGATCCAAGATAATCAGACAGAGCCAAAGAACATATGTGACAGGAGAATGTCACTGTTGCTCCTTTGAGAAGTTGGCTTTTTGCTCACGATGTGCTGCTAAAAAAAAAAAATCTACATTTGCTTACAAGACAGAGGAGCTGAAATTGTCTTGTGCTGTTTCCAAGTCTAGAAGGATGCTCTTCATGGCTTTTTTATGGACCACTCAGCCTTTGGCCTCACTGCTGGGGACTGACCAGCATCAGTGATGTTGTGTCTATAAAGGGATGCTGCCTTCAGAGTGTTGAAGTCACCAGCACTTCTTTCATTCCAGGCATCACTAAACAGCCATTAAATGGCTTTACCTCACATACACAACCACCTTGGGTGCCATTTCTGCTCACAACCCAACGGTGAAACAGTCCCAGAAGCCATCCAGCCATTTAATGAAAAGGGTTTTAACTCGTTTTCAGTCCCCTCAAGACCTGACATTTGGGATAACAAAGCAAGCAGGGAGGGCAAAATAAAACAAAGCTGAAGATTGAGCTCAGCAGAGCCGTGATTGTGTGGTGAGATCAACACAACTCATCTTGGAGTCCTCGCCTGCCAGAACTTCAGAGTGCAGCAGCTTTCTCTAAAACCCCCAAAAAGTTTTAACAAGCTCCTTGGGATTCCTATTGGACTTTCAGCTCCAAAAACATCAAAATGCAACACAGAGCCCAGAGTTCTTAAACACCTGGCATCAAAACTGCAAAACTACTTACCAGAAGAGCACTTGTTCCTTAGTGAGACACTGCTTTCAAATGCAGCTTAACAGGCTTTTCCTCCTCTAGTTAAGCTTTTATTACAGGGATTCCTTGATGCTTACATTGTAGGACACGTTAATAAAGTCCCTTCTACCTGCCTGACACTTCAGCAGCACTTGCACAGCATATAAAGCTGTAAAGAACAAAAGCTGCTGGTGCATGAAGTGCTCCTGCAGATGAATTTCTGCTGTGTGTCATACACAAACACGTCACAGCCCCCACGAGCTGCCCTGCAGCTCCTTCTCTCCCAGCACAGGGTGCTCTTCCCAATATTCCAACTGCTCATTCTCTTTCTGGAGCGTTGGCTGAGAATTCTCAGGGGCTGGAGTGTAAAAGCAGCTTCCAGCATCACTTGTGAGGCTGTAATGACTGAGCACAGATGACAGACAGCTTCTGCTGGGGGATGCTTGATCCGCACTGCATACCTGCACATGCCCTCATTTTACCCGAGATAAAACAGGGAATAAAGGGAAAATGGGATTCTTTCATCCTCTCCACTGCCAGACATTTATTTATCCTTCCCCAGCCAGAAGTACCTGGGGCAGGGATGGGAAACAGAGGGAAACTACCAACATAAAAAACCTTTCCAGTTTATTTTGATTAACTGGTCCACACTGCTGTGACTCATCTTTTGATAATGACTGACTACCCAAAGCAGCAGGAAAATCCCACAGATGGGAAAGTTCATTGCTTGTCATCTTTACAGGAGGAGAGACTCTGATCAACCAACAAAACCCATCCCAGCTTCCAGGCTCTCACCTGACTTGTGCAAGTTGATGGATCTTAGGTTGGGGAAAAGCCTTGCCAGGGAATCTTCTGACTCTTCAATGGTCGTGAGGTTGTTGTTAGCCAGGATAAGTGTGTCCAGTGATGGAAACATAATTCCCAACTTTCGAATTTCAGTCCAGTCTTGAAGATTATTGTCAGTTATGTGGAGTAGCTTGAGAGACTGACAGCACACTGGAGAACAAGACACTGTTTCGTAGTCATTAAGGCACAGGAAGAGCTCCTCCAAGCTGCACAGGGCAGAAAGGATCATGTCATCAATTCTGTGTGATTTTAACACAACTTTCTGTAACAGCTCTGAGAACCTTGGTGTACAGAAGGCCTTTGAGCACTCCACATAGTGCTTCAACTACATCTCTGCTCCCATCCATATCTTCAGAGATTTAAAAAACCTTTTAAGTGTTCCCTGAGTCTCTCCCAGTATTGTGTAACAGATTGGTTGGGGTTGTCTTCCACATCTGTGCCCAACAAGCCACCAATCCAGCTCCAATGGTGACTGGGACCTGCTCCCAGTTCTCTCAAATTAATTTAGAACGGGGCTTTGATACAACACTGATCATGATTTTTCCCCCCACATCACTGCCTAAGATTCCCATAAAAGAAAGAACAGATCCCATTAAAGAAAGAACAGATCCCATTAAAGACAGAGCAGATGTCACTAAGTTTTCAGACTACTGAACTCTCCCAATCCCAGAGAAGTGTAGGTTGGCCACGCAGGACATTCTGTTGTCATCATCTCTACTTACAAAGCCACACAAAGAGGGATCTGTCATCAAAATGAAGCCACTGAGGACATTCATGGGAGCAGAATGCCAAGGTGGCCCATGACCAAACCACAGAAATCAACACCTTAGCAGAGTAAAGCAGGATGAAATATTCCTTGACAAGTGGCCAGACCCTCAGAGGTACCTCCCATTTAACAGGTATGCCCTGCACCATTCACTGCACAGTGACTCAGAGGGAAGTGTGACCCTCCTACATTTTTGAGGTCATTATTCAGCTCTGGTATTTAGGTTTGGAGGAGGAGAAGGCTTGGGCTTTGCAGCACCACCCAAGTTTGGTTTTTAGGACAATGTAAAGCACTCACCTGGAGTTCCCAAACTCCAAAAGAAAAACATCCCTTTTTCTCTACTGATGTTTGCATCTTCACAGCCCACTCATCCCTCACCACATGACTCCATAACCCAGCCCTGACCTGAGTGTAGTAAATGCCCAGATCCCCAGGCTTACTCTGGTAATTCCTGCAGGATGGTGTGCACTGTTTCCCAGGAAGCTTTGCTGTTGTTGAGCACAAGTTTGCGGACGCCAGCGAAAGACCCAGCGCAACTTCTCTCTAAAACGGACAAACTGAGAGGGTTGGAACTCAGGTTTAGAAACTCCAAGTGAGGGACGTTGGACACAATTTTACTGACCTAAGTGAGGAGGGAAGAAAAAAAAAAAAAAAAACAAACAGAAAGAAAGAAATGTGTATCAGGCAGTAATCGGACCTCTGGCAATAATATCCCACCTCCTAAAAGGGGCCCTGTGGAATCATCACAGAGCAATGATATGGGGAAAAACATAGGGATATCTACCTGTAATTCATACTGCAGCCATTCCTGATCTAGATGGATTGGTTAATTGCTCATTCTCTTCAAGAGTTCATTTAATTACACTCTAGGAGCAGCTTGATAAGAGAAATGCAGTCCCTTGGGAGAGGTCATAAAATCCACCTCAAGGCCAAGGCTGAGCAGGAGCCAGCCCTCGCTCACAGGGGGCCATGGACACTTCTCCTGCCTCCATGGCCAACACTGAGCACTTGTCCAGCTTCCCACTGCTCCCACACAGCTCAGCCAGTCCCTAATTCCCTCCTTGACTGGGGAACTGAGTGGGAAGCAGTTCAAACACCAGCAGACATCAATGCAGGAAATAATTCTGGGTCAGAGAACACCTGGCTGGAGGGCTCCACTCCACAAAGCAGAGTTGGGATGGGCACAGATGGGCAGACCATGGCACACAGGGGTCAGTAAATGCCCAGTTGTTGGCAAAGGGTGATTGTCTCACGAATTTAAGTGTGGCAAACATGAGGTAATGACCCTGCCTCGCTTCACACCTCCTCTCAGGTGATGTCATGCTTGGGTGCTACATGTCAGGAGCTAAGTAGAAAACCGGATGACATCAGTCCAGCAAACACACAGGATTTAGGACAAAATGATGAATGACTGGAAGAATGGTATTTTTTTCAGTATTATACTAAAATAAGGAAAGAAGGCATTAAAGATCTTAGCAGGTGTAAAAAGCTGTTGTATAAGGAACAGTGATGATGCTCCTCCTGCCTGCTGAGAACAGGGCAGGCAGAAATTGGCTGAAATTGCAGCACAGGAGACTTAAATTACACAGTTTAGCCTATGAGGTTATTAGCTAAGCATGGGAACAGGCTACCCAGGGATCTGGAATCCCCAGCACGGGCAGCTTTTAGGGGTGGGGAGATATTTATCTGGTGTGGATGGGCTGTGAAAACTTAATCCTGTCTCAGAGGAAGGGGCCAGCACACACATAGAAGCCTTTCAGTTCCAGGACAGCCTGAAGAGACTGAACACAGAGCAGGTGTGAGACGTGCAGCTTGTGAGTGACCACTCTATGACCAGATATGAGGTCAGCCCCACTGAGCTGGGACACTGCAAGCACTGCATTCCCTCCCTGCTTAAAGACATGAGAATCTGATGGCACACACCCCATAATATCCTATTTTTTTCCAGATATTTCCAACAATAAACACGAACATAAAAGGAGAGCATAATCTAGCGAGGAACTTAATGACACTTGAATGGATTGAGATTGTTTCACTCCTGTTACATTGCATTTATTGAGCATTATTTCATCCAAGCACTTCAAAGGATTTTACAACAGCATTTAGCATTAATTAATGAGGCTGCAGAAATATCCTTTGTGGTAAATATTATTAAATCTGTTCTGCAGATAAGGCAACAAATATGGAGAGGGAATAAATACCTTGTCCACGATCACAGTGGCAAAGCTGGGAATCAACTGCCACTCTGTTAAAAACTAAACTGCTCATTAACTTCTTGGTGTTAGAAATGCCAGTTCCAGTGCTTTGCATGACAAAATAAAATAAAAATACAGATTTTTCACCCACGGCCAAGACTGTAAGTCACAAGTTAAAGGAGTGAAGTGCCACACTGGATTAATTTCATCACATGTATTGCTCAGTTGCTGTCGAATTAAATAAACATCACCTTCAGAGATGAGAAAGAAGCCACAAAAATGGAACTGTCATCAATGCAGTGCACTTGCAGTCAGTAATTGCTGTGAAAGGCACCCAGTAAGGTGCCCATCACCATTTTACCTCGTGCCAGTCTTCCAGTTTGTTGTCAGAGAGGTCGAGCTCAAAGACGTGGGCGCAGAAGGCGGCGATCTCGTTCTCGTCCCCGGCACAGGTGATGCCACAGCTGTTGAGCACCAGCACACTGGGCAGGTTCAGGCGGTCTGGCACAGGGAAAAACAGAAGCTGCCTCTGCTCAGCACTGCTTTGGAGTTACAGAACCCAGCCCCAAACATGGATGTTACAGGCAGTAAGAGAAATCTACCAGTAATGTCAGAATTTACACCGATGTCAGGTTAAACACGGATTTTATAACTGGCACCATCCTGAAGCCTTGGTTGTAAACATGAAGTACCACTCCTATCAGTGCTCTTCAGTTCCTCCATGTATTTCTGTGTATTTCAGGCCTGTCCTTTGTCATTTATGGCTTGTCTCCTATCAGTCCTTGCCACAACTTCTGCAGTTCCCCAGGCAGCTGCTGCTGCAGATAGGACACAGGGCTAGGGGAGTGTCAGCTGCACAGTCAGAATCCCTTATCCTCTAGCCCTGAGCCCACTTGAGCCTAGTAACAGCCAGGAGGTATTTAAACATTTCCTAGAAGGTATTTAAACATTTCTTAGGAGGTATTTAAGCATTTCCTTTCTAAGCTTTCCCCTCCCAAGGTTCTGTGTAGAGCATTCAGCATTCATGCACAGACTCAGGTCTCTGCTCTGCCTTTCCATTCCTGCTTTGGTTTTGCTCCAGCTCCTCTTCATGTAAATGTACTCAAAGCTACAACCAAGGACTTGGACTTCAATCACAGCCTGCTGTGCTAAGGCTAAACCATGACAAAAAGCTGGGGGTTTGTAACAGGAAACAACTTCCACACAAGAAATCCACACTGAGCCAAGGCAAGCCACCAGTCTTACACTCTTTCATGTACAACATGGCTTTGCCACCTCTCTGGAGTACTGAAATCCATTACAATCTCACCACAAGCTTTTTCCTAAATAGATGGCCCCTTTTCTCCTTAACACTTGATAGCTACATGACTAGAAAGATATTTTAGCAGCAAACAATTACCTGGAGTGATCTGGGTTTCTAAGTTTTCTGGCTCATAAGTGTTTGGTTTCTTAAAAGGACAGTGTGGCATTTTGGGAATTCCTAATGCTGTATTTGTAAGTCACGTCTCAGTCATGTTTTAAGACGTGGCCTCTTTTCAGCACACAAACAGCTCAGGTGAGCAGGAGAGAGGTAAATTTACCTGCAGAGAGGGCACTGACTGAACATTCCATCAGGCCATTTTTCTGCTCTTGTTCATTTTGAGAGTCTTTTATCCTCAACTGAACTCAGGCCCTTTTTTCTCCTCTGTCAAACCCAGTTATTGGAAACTTCATCCAGCTGATTTCCATGGCTATTTGCCCCTTTGGGGCTGGTTATGACACAAATTGACCTGATGGATGTTTGGATTACTCCTACAGATCATGATGGACAAGATGTGTGACACAAAGCAGGGACAGCTCTGATGGGATCAATGTGAGTCTCAGACCCATCCATACAAACCAAGAATTAAATACCAACATCAGAGAGTGAGGGAAGACTAAAGGGTGTCACATAGATCTAGTTCAGAGGAGACGGTGACACAGATTCTGCAGTCTGGGAGGCTCAAGGACATCCACTAGCAGCACAAAGCTTCAGACACTCATCTGGCTAAATTCTCTCGAGGCAGCAAGGTCAGGAGCACAGGAGAGGGCAATTCTTCACTATCTCACAAAGCATTTGGTGCCTTGAGATGACAAAGTACACTGCAAGTTCACCTGAGGCACTTGTCACCAAAGCAGCCTGGCTGGAGGGTCAACAATTCATCACTCTGCTTGAAATATGTCCCCTCCTGTGTACACTGAGCTGCTGTCCCTGCAGGCATCAAAGCAAGCTGGTAGCATGGGAACCAACCTCAAATTTAGATATTTTATGCATTTTTAAGCCACCTCTGCCGAAACAGCTGTTGCTGCAGCAAATAATAAAATAGGATCAGTGGCCTGAAGAAAAGCTCCAAGGACTGCTGAACCCTCAAAACTGCACAGGGCCTTAGGTCCATCTTCCACTCACAGAACTGGAATTTGGTGATCCTGAAGGTCCCTTCCAACCCAAATGATTCTACTCTATTCTCTAATTCTGATTCTGTTATGCTGTAGAGAAATTTAGTTTTTTACAGCAACCAGTTCAGTTATTTTTTACCTTTGTTAGATTCCAGTCTCTCAACTCTCTGTGTAAAAAAACCACACTGCCACTGTTCTTTTTCTGGGCAATTCAAGGAGATTTCTCTTTCAGTTGATTCCTTGCAGATGCTCAGAAAGAGCAGAACTTACCTTTCATAGGAGAGCCCTGTGGAGTTGCTGGGACATGCACCCCCATGCCAGGCCCACGGCGGTAGGGGAAGTTCTCAGGGCTGTATTTCTCACACAGAACTTGCATGAAACTCCTTCCACTGGGCTGGTCCATGCTCCCTTCTTGGACTTCTAGATAAAAAAAGAGAAAAATAGAGCATATGAGCAGTCAGCAAGTAATCATTTCTAATAGGGGTGCTTGAAAACACAGGGAAAGTAAGCAGATGGGTTTTATTTCTGAGTTCTAGATCATCTAACAGGTCCTGATTCAAATTGAAGATTCAAGTAAAACATTACTTGAAAGAACCCAAAGCCAGAGGGTTTGGTGCTGTACAAACACAGCATTACAGGCCAAGTTCAAGGCCTCCTTACCCCACGTGCACTTCCAGGATAATTCCAGGCTGCAAAAAGTGACTTCTGCACTTGTCACTTCTGCCCCTCCCACGAGGACTGTGAGAAATCCACAGCTACTCTCAAACACATTTCCAGGGCAGCCAGGAGGGGAAGGAGCAAACAGCTGCTTGTGAGCAGGAGATTGCTCCAACAGCTGTTTGCCAACTTCCCCTTTCTGCTGTGTCACCAAACATCGTTTGGCCAGGCCAAAAGACAACTCCTGCCAATTCCATTCTGCAGCTGCCTAATGTATCTGGGAGATAATAACTGTGCCCTTCATATCTGGGCATGGCACAGAACAGCACAGGAAAAAGGCCTTGCCTCATCACAGGCTCCTGAGCTGCCTGGAGAGATACTGAGAGTCAGCTGGGAGTGTTTCTGGCACCAGGACCCCTCCATGGCTGAGGTTCTGCCCTGCCCAGGTGGGACTCAGCCTCTCTCTCTGCTCTGTTTCCCTGAACTTGGCATTTAATGGGTTTCTAACACAGCAGAGCTTGGTCTATGAATGAAGAAATTGTTTCCAGAGGTCTCCTAGTTCTGCTATCCATCATGGACACAGCATCACAATCCTGAACATTCAGGAACCAGTGCAGGAATACACTGTACAATTAGCCATAGAGCAGCTTTTCCACTAATTACAGCAAAATTACATTTTTAAACCTCAGACTGCTGCCACACATCTCTTGCAAGCCATGTTGCTAATCCTGAATTGAAGTTTCTGCCCATTTCTTTCCCTTAGACTGTTACAGGCAAATCTAGATATAAAATTCTAAACAGAAGTGATTTCACTAAGGCTCCCTTTGCTGAGAATCACCTGTTTAACAAGTTCTACTTCACTTCTTCATCACCAGACTACCTAAAATCCATCAACCAAAAGGATTTGAGTACAACATGCAGCAACTGACAGGAGCACATTGTCATTTTTATATTATATATAAAGTTTAAATGTCACAAATAGGATTAATCTTTCAAAAAAACCCAAAACCCACCATTTTCATCTCTCAACAGCTTGGTTGATTCATAGCTCAAACTTGACTCATGTCACTACTCTATCTAGAATCAAAAATTAAATCCTCAAACTGGAGTTTGATAGGAACAAGGCATTTCATTTTAGGCTAAACTATTCCCTATGGTACAGGAACAATTTGCACTGACAGCCAAGGCTTCAGGCTGAAAGGCCTCGTTCCAGAGTGGTCTGGGAGCTCAGCACCATCCACAGACAGACAGAGCTTTCCAAACACACATTCAGATCTCCTGGTCTAGAAATTCTGGAACTCCCATGTCCATAAAGCCTTCTGTCCTTCACATCACCTTTCTTATCAGCTTCATCCCTCTTTATTTGCTGAACAAACATCAGCTGGAAATTCCACAGGAAAAACTCACCTTATGGACAAAAATGGTGTTTTCAGCTACAGTGTGAGAGCAATCCAGAACTGAGAAGAAAAACCACTGACATTTACATCCAACAGCTTTGAATCCCCAACATTTTCTTCCTCAAGCTCTACTTTTGAACACCAGTGCCATTGTGAGATGACAGAAATGTCGTGGAGTGGGCAATCACCTTTCCCACCTCCCTTCCCGTGGGATTTCACGTCCCCTGTAATCATCTGTCATGCACGTGGCTTCTCTGAATCCCTACAATTGCCTGGGAGCAGGGAGCAGCAGGATGTGCAAAGGGAATGACAGGTTTCAAGGGAATGCTGTCAGCACAAGGGCAGCACAGGGTGACCTGCAAGGTGCACGTTTCTGAGTGTGTCCCTGCTGACAGCACAAGGAACAATTCACGTCTCAAAATAACTCTGGGTTTTCTAAATGACAGCACAGAGTGCAAACGAGGCACTTGGGCTTTGAGAGGTGTCAACAAATAGCCTTTGTTGTTATATTTAAGTGCTCTGCTGCAGGGCTGTGGCCCCAGTGACAAAGGACAGAGAATCTCAGAATGGTTTGGATTGGAAGGGACCTTAAAAAAAAAATCTCATTCCAATCCCTCATTCCAACACCTTCCACTATCCCAGGTTGCTTCATCCAACCTGGCTGGATCCAGGGGCAGCCACAGCTTCTCTGGGTGCCCTGTGCCAGAGCCTCCCCACCCTCACAGGGAGGAATTTCTCCCCAATATCCAGTCTAAAGGCACTCTCTGACACTTTGAAGCCATTCCCCCTTGTCCTGTCACTCCAGACCCTTGGAAATAGCTCCTCTCCATCTGTCTCCCTGCAAGTACTGGAAGGTCACAGTGGGGTCACCTCAAAGCTTCTCCTCTCCAAGCAAACAATCTCAGTCTTTCTTCCCAGCAGAGCTGTTCCATTCCTCTGATCATCCTGATGCCTCCTCTGGACTCTCCCCAGCAGCTCCAGCTCCTTCCTATGCTGGGATTCCCAAGCTGAAAGCAGCACTGGGAAGTGTCTGGAAAGAGGAGCACGACCCTGACTTGAGACTGATTCCAGGGAAAGCCAGGGTGCTGCTGCAGCTGATGAGTGAAAAGAGAACACTGAAAACAGCATGGAAAATATTTCCATCCCCTGTGCTGTGAGCCTTCCAGGAGGAGACCCTACAGGAGAATGATATCATCAATGGCATGCTAATGAAATTCCAGTGCCACTCAAATGCCTTCGGGGCAATCCTGAAGAGTCACACACCAAACACATCTTGACATGTTTGTATACATGGAAAACAAAGCGTAAGGAATGGATGAACAGCACAAACATCTGTCTGCAAGGAGCTGCAACATCGTTCTCCTGAGACATGATTCAGGGAAATTATTCTTGAGATTATCTCGAGAGGCAGATAAGTGAAACTATATAGAATGGTTTGGGTTGGAAAGGGACCTTGAAGATTATTTAGTTCCACTCCTCCCTGCCTTGGGCAGGGAAATCCGAGCAGGATTTAGCAGGAGTTGTAGCATGGCAGGCAGCCTGCCCCTCTGAGCCACCACGACAAGCCACCCAAGCAGGTGAAACTCCATCAAACCCAGCATGGCTGTTTGTTCCCACACCACAGCACTGAGGAGACCAGAGAGCACACGGCAGACACCTGAATTATCCCTTGGCACGCTCGTGGACTGACTCTGACCCTGTCCCACTGCACCAGCAATTATTCCCTGCTGGAACCCCCTGTCCGTGCTGCTGGGCCCAGGGCAGGACGAGCACGCAGCTGCCCCCTGACAGCTCAGAGTGTGCAGCCCTGAGCCCCTGAGCCCTCTTCCCACCTCTCACACAGCCTGTCCCTGTCCCCTCACACAGCCTGTCCCTGTCCCCTCACACGGTCTGTCCCCTGTCCCCTCACACGGCCTGGCCCCTGTCCCATTACACAGTCTGTCCCTGTCCCCTCACACGGCCTGTCACAGTCCCCTTACACAGCCTGTCCCCTCACACGGCCTGTCCCAGTCCCCTCACACGGCCTGTCCCAGTCCCCTCACACGGCCCCGGGCTGGCTCTGGCTGACAGCGGCGCTCCCGCACCGCGCCGCTCCCGGGGCGGCAGCCGGAGGGTGCCAGGGGTCCCCGGGCGGTGTCGGGGGGTGCCAGCGGCCCCCGCTGTCCCCTGTCCCCCCCTGTCCCCCGCCCCTCTCACCCAGGCCCGGCCGCCGCGTCCCGCATCGACCCGGAAGCAGCTCCAAACATCACGTGACACCGCGCGCGGTCACGTGGCGGGGCGCTCCCCCCGTTGCCGTGGAGACGGCGACGCCGATGACGTCATCCTTATCACCAAGCAGGGTTTCCTTGGGATGCGACGGGAAGAGCGATGCCAGCGCGCCAGGGAGGGGATCCTGACCCTCTGCCCAGCCCTGGCAGGCGCATCGGCAGTGTCGGAGTCCAGCTCTGGGCTCCTCAGCACAGGAGGAACAGGGAGATCCTGGAGCGGGGTCAGCCGAGGGTGACAGAGACGAAAGGACGGGAGCATCTCCCTGATGAGGGAATTGGGGCTGAGAAGGGACCTCACCCCTGTCTGTCAGTGCCTGCAGGGAGGGCTCCGAGCAGGGCCCAGGCCCTGCTCCGGGATCCCAGCAATGGCACAAGGGGAATGGGCAGGGACTGATCCCGGGAAGCTCCACCAGGACAGGAGGAAGGACTTTATTATTCAGTGACCAAGCCCAGAACAGGCTGTCCAGAGAGGGTGTGGAGTCACCCTCACTGGAGAGACTCCAGAAGCACCTGAACACAGCCCTGTGCCTTGGGATGACCCTGCTGGAGCAGGGAGGACCAGGTGACCCACTGAGGTCTCTTTGCCCTGGCCCAGTCTGTGATTCTGTGATGCCACACAGAGGTGATGCCAAGATCCCTGCAGTGCCAGGGTCCAGCTCTGGGCACAGGACTTGCCTCAGGGTGGCATCCCGTTGCCCTCAGGGTCCTGCTGGAGCCAGGTACATAAAACTACCTAAAACCTGCAAACCCATGACCATGGCATGTTCAGGATGTAAAATGTCAGCAGCATTGGCTTCACTGGCTCATGCAGCAGCTACATCCCTTTGCTGGCAGTGCCCACCTGCTCTTCACACTTCACCCATTTCTCTCCTGTTTACTCAGTGCTGGCACCTCCTTTTCGGCAGTGGCTGCTCAAGGACAGAATTACAGAATCCCAGCTGGATTTGGGTTGCAAGGGACCTTAAAGCTCATCCCATTCCACCTGTCTGGATAGGCAAGGACATTTTCCACTAGCCTAGGTTGCTCCGAGCCTGACCTGGATGACAAATCACGTTGAGAGTGAGGACAAATCCACTCAGCCTAGTTCCCCACCTCCATCCTTGCATGGTGGGAATCAGAAACTGCCTGAAACAGGGCCTGTCCTGTCTGGCAAAGGCAGGGGAGCTGGAGGAGAGCTGCATTAGTCATGGCTGAGTGGCTGCAGGGCATCTCCCCGGGCTGTAACATCATCGGGACAGCGTTATCCTGTTACCCGCACACCCCAGGCTGTGCACACTCCTCCGAGGCACAATGGCAGCGTTGTGGGTGCTACCCGGGCACAGGACAACAGAAGGACTTCAGCCCCAGCCCAGGGGCTGCGTTAACTCCTGCTGTGCCAGGAATTCCCTGCCTCACTTTGGACAGACATCGTGGGTTTGCACCCACACAAGTCAGGCTAAGCTAAGGAGGCAATCCTGGTATTCCCAAAGCTAAACCGGTGCCCTGAGGATTTCTCAGCAGAAAATCTCCCTCCCAAGAAGCAAAGCCAGACCATTGCCAGAGCTGGAGCCATCAGCATATCACATTAACCCCAGCTCCAAATTTAAAAGCTGTAATAGGCTTAGTCATAGAATCTAATGAGCTAATCAGAGGTGGCCAAACCTATTACCACAAGTAAAACACAGCTGCACTGTCTGCCATTCCCTGCTTCTCCTCGGGCTAGGTTCACAGCCAGAGTTTTAAACAAAGCACGGGGGATTTTCTTCAAGACTGTGGTGGAGAAAACCTTTCCTGATGCCAGGGTTATGACAGAGTCACATCACTGCTGCACATCCTGTGGCAAATGTACAAGTGTGGAAGGGCTCAGGGCTTCCCAGGTGCCACAGCCCACATCCCATGGACCATTCTCCATCACCAGTTCTGCTCTGTGCTACCCTGCCAGCCCCACTCTCCTCCCAGCACAGCAGCAGCTCAAGCTGAAATACATTTCATGGGCCTGCTTGCCCTTTAACAGAGAGAAAACCACTTGGGTGTTCTTCCTTTCTACCCTGTTGACACAACACTGGGTTTATTCCATTCCTGGGCAGGCCAGCACAGCCGAACATTTCCTTGCTAACACTCCCTAAAACCCTTCTCTCCCCGTGCTCTGAACGCCTCATTTGGTCCTTTCAATACATTCCGGAGAGAGCTTTGTCTGCACTTGGTTTTCCTTCCCCCTCTGCTTCTCGGATCTGTTTCAGGGAGATAAAGAATCCCATTGCATTCAGAGGCCACACTCTTTCCCTAACAATCCTCATGGTTTCTTTTTGCACAGCTCACCTGTGCTATTTAGTTGCTAGAAGGCAGACAGAGCATATTTTAGCTGGTAACTGGCACCACAGTTTGATTCGAAACACATTTCAGGGGCTGCTTTCTATAATTACAGATGGACTGGATAGAGCAGATGTCTGTGTTAACCTCCACTGGGTCAGTGCTGCAAGTGTGAGAAAGTGGCCACTGTACCCCTGGCTGACTTTAGAGCCCATTTCCACGGAGCCTGGACAGGTCAGGGAATTGTTAACACAATATAATCTTCCCCCTCCGGGGACCAGTTTGAATTCAGCCCAAGCTAACCCAGACCCTGAGTGCTTATCACGTTGGCTGTCTCATTGTTCGAGTTTGATGGGTCTACATCTCCTCCTCCCTGGCACACAAGTATCCTCTTGCCGAAGCTTTTACCCCTCCCTGGCAGGCTCCCCTCTTTCCCACAGCCGCTTGCCCAGGGTTAAAGAGGCCATGGGAACTGGGAGAACTGGGATCAGCACATCCTCCCTCCTGCCTGGCTGTGCAGGGGATGCCTGCAGTGATTCCTCACACTCACCCCACTGACATGTCCGTGTGAGGTGACAGAGCCACCAAATCCGAGTTATTTTCATATTTTTAGAGCTGGACCTGATTAACCTCAGCAAGCAAAACATCCTCAATATCTGAAAATAATCCTGTCCCGAGCCTTCCCTCATTACTCGTGTTTCTAATGCACCACAAATTAATGTCACCCACGACTGTCACTGGGGGCACTTACCAGTTGCACAGAGGCCAGAAGGGAATCACATCCTGCACAAAAGCCACAAACTCCTCTAATTTCACTGCCATTTGGTCTGAAAGACAAAAAAACCTCTCCCATGTATTCCTGAAAAATTACCTGAGATGGAGAATCAAACCCAGTCTGTGAAAAATCAAACAGTTAATTACTCACTGTGCTAATGAAAACAAACACAAAAGCACCCAGGCTTTGTTCCAGTCAGAGTGTGCCATCTAAACCCAATTAATTCCCAGCTCACTCT